ATCTTACAATGCTGTGATTGCAGCCATTCCCCAACCTTCTGTGAATGGTACTCATGGCCTTGATCAATGGTCAAGGTAATTCGCATTTTAGTGATCTAGAAACTGAATGTAATTAGGGCAGTTATAAAATGTATAAAGAAGGTCCAATCTAATACACTTTATATTAATAGACACTCATTATTCCATAACGTTTTTATAATTGTAGACCAACAAAAGAAATCTAAACAATACATTTTAACTGCATGTTACAGAACTGACACTACTTTTAACCATATGTTTTATAACTTCACTTTTACAACTTCTTTTATAACATTGTGGGTCAAATGAAAAGTCAGCTGGACGCATCTAAGAATAGCTGAAGTCAGAGATTAGAGCCAAATACATGGATCCACTCTTATGTAAGTCCACTGATTAACAACAGCCAGCATTAATACCTACCAAAGCCACAGTAAAGCAACTTCACTACTCATTCTTCTCCACAGTCACAACAGACTTGCAGTACATATATAACTATGTAAGAAGTTTTTAGTTTGTGTAATATCACCTTGATGAGGGTGCTGTGTATTCTACTGGGTTGAGATGATGCGACAGACTTGACACTGAATAATATCCCATATCCTAAATATATCCTTGGGCTACCTTTGCAATACAGTGTTGGTCATTATTTATTAGCACTGTGAAGTGCTGTCCAATCAGTTTTGAATCTGAACCTGAGCAGGTTCTAAACTACTTGCACAAAGGCGGTTGTTTGATTGTTGGGTTTGTAGTCTTTCCTTTATAATATGACTTTGTAAATAAAGCTGAACTGAATCAGTAAATACTAGCGGCAGTCATGGGTAATCCAGTATGTTAAAGATCATGAAGGAGTTCTCTCCATGCCCGTACTTTTATGTTCCTCTCAATTTGTTAAGTTCATCTTGGTTTCATCAGGCCTTGAGAGAGGACTTTCAGACCTTGAAAATGTATCTTTTCAAGAGTTCTTGAGTTAGATGGTGCAAAGCTGCTTTTCTTAATCACAGAAATAATTATACCATCATGCACTTTAGATTTAGACTGACATTTTGCACTGTTATAATAGTGGCAATTGATTCAGTGAGCTGTTAAAAATGACCATCAACTGTGCCAGGGGTGGTGGGCATTCAGTTCAATTTAGTTTTACTTACATAGCTGCAACTGTAGATGGGGCTGATGAAACTACCTGTGAGCCCATTATCTACATTTTTGAACCTCTGATAATGTATGTAAATGGCTGTGACTCCTAAAAAGTTAATGCAGTACTTCTGTAAAACTCCTTGAATGAAAGCTGTCTGAACATTAATCCCGTATTGACTGTTTGCTTTAAAATCCATCTGCAGTGGTTTAGAAAGGCAATATTATTAAAATGATCTTTGCCCAACAAATAATAGACCCAACTGTATTCATGGATGGGCAGAAGTGTAGTAAAGCAACAGGGTTATGTGAAGAACATTGTTAAGAAATGTCAACATCCGCTCGCTTACGAAAAAGGGACATTTCGTCCAGAATCTCCTCACAGACCATAAGTTTGACTTTTTCTGTTTGACTGAGACGTGGCAACAGCCCAATGACTTTTCGCAGCTCCACAACTCCACTCCTGGGTTTGTTTACACCTGCCAGCCTCGTGAGTCCGGCCGTGGTGGAGGTATCACGGTAATCTATCGCAAGATCTTTCTTTCAATGTCAAAATAACCTTTTCTATGCCCAAGAACCCTCATACCATTTCTTTTTAGAATTTTAAGAAAATCCATCCTGACACCCTTTCTTTTGCTTTCTCTACTTATTTGCATTTTCATAACCTGCTCACCCAAGAGGACTTGGTTTCCTATTATAACTCTAGTCTCAATAATATTCTAAACTCTGTTGCCACACTCAAAACCAAATCTGTATCATTCCCTCAGTCAGCACCCTGCTGAGAGAGTTTACAGCTGAACTCAGGCTTCTGAAAGCAAAAGGCCGACGGCTTGAACGCCTCTATAATAAGAAAACTGGTCTTACTATTCATAAGGAAATGTTTAATAATCATGTTTTGTATTATAAAGAGTGTATTAATCAAACAATATCTGCTTATTACTCCACCATGGTCTGTGCAAATGATGATTCAACCAAGACACCGTTTTCACTGTTCAACTCTTCTTTCAGGTCACCAGATTTTTACCTGCTCATCCAAGACCTGGTTTGTTCCATGTAGCGCTTCCTTTGCATTTCCACTCCCATCACACTCTTTTTCTGCTTTCCAACTTCCCTCTGTCACTGATATTTCAGATCTCATCTGTAAGTCAAAACCTGGTCAAGGCCTGTTTACCCTCTTTGCTTCCCCTCATATCTGCTATCATTTATTCTTCACTTACTACTGGAACTGTTCCTGCTTCCTTCAAAGTTGCTGCCATCGCCCCAATATTGAAAACAAAAACAAAACGCAAAACAAAGCAAAACAAAACAAAGTCTAGATCCCAATAACTTTGATCATTTTTGTCTTATTTCCAATCTACCATTCCTCTCAAAAATTCTTGAGAAGATAGTTGCCACTCCAGTCTGGTTTTCGCCCCTCCCATAGCACTGAAACAGCGCTTATAAAAATAACCAGTGATCTTCTTATGGCAGCTGACTACAGTTTACTTTCCATTCTTATTCTCCTCGATCTGAGAGCTGCTTTTGATATAATAATGTGTATGTGTTAGTCCCCATAGGGAAATAGTTCTTCTGCATTTAACCCATTCACCCAGTGAAGCAGTGGGCAGCCACCAATGCAGCGCCCGGGGAGCAGTGTGTAGGGACGGTACCTTGCTCAGGGGTACCTCAGGGTAGCCATTCAGTGGAGTTGAACCCCCGACCTTCCGATCATGGGGCCACCACTCTACCTACTGAGCTATCCCTGCCCTGAGCTATCCCTTGACACCATCTCTCACTCCATTCTCCTTAGTAGGTTAGTCTCCATCGGTCTCTCCCATACTCCACTAGCCTGGTTGTGGAGTATGTCTCATCGCACTCCGTTTATTCGACTCAAATCCTTCACCTCTCAGCCCTTTCGTCTGGTCACTGGCATATCAAAGCAACCTGGAATCGTCAGTTTTTACCTCCTCGAGCCATTGCTCGTTGATGCAGTAATTCATTTTATATTTGTAATATTTATATTTCATTTCATATTTGCCTTGAGGCTTAACAACACAAAAAATTTGATTTACTGAGGTTCGACTTAGGGCACTACATGCAATAGTTACTATGACAATAATAACATGAATAATAAAACTCACATGTTTTACACAAGAATTGTGGACAAATTCCAAAGCAGAATCTGTCTTTAGTCTTGTATTAAACAAAAATGTTTTTAATCATTTTATTTGATGTTTCAGTGTTTTAAGACCAGCAAGTAAGACTTTGGACTTATTTAAGAGCTTGATGTCATTAGAAATGCAGCTTCCCTTAATGAGCATTCCTTATAAAGAAATTATTTTGTTATGATGGTGAAGTGAATCTGTGCAGTTCTACTGACATGTCAAATTACTTGACATTATAACATGATTTATTATAATCATTTACTTTTGTCTACCTTCTCTTATGAAAGCACACACCAAGGTAGTGCTCGTTTACTAGAGAGTAGCGTGTAGGCTTGGTCACACACACATGGAATAGCTTATTTCCAAGCACTTACCCTGTAAAAGAAGTTGGAGCGGCCTACTGATCCAATCTTGCCAATGTGGTTCATGAAACACAGATTTCCTTCAGTGGAGCCATATACTTCACACATTTTGATTTTCCCAAAGCGACTTTGGAACTCCTGCCACACATCCTGATGCAGCCCATTTCCCACTCCCATCCGCACCTTATGAACTTTATCAAGCTCTGTCTGATGGAGAGAAAAATACAAATACATCAGCACAAGATTTCTGAAAAGTATTACGAAATCATTTATTTAAAAAACTGTTAAGTGGGAAATAATTTCCACTTAATAAATGTCTCTGATTTTTACACTGACATTATTATTATTATTACACTGTTATTTAATGTGTTTTAAAGAAATGTTTAAGTGCATGTTCAGTTTATTTTTTTTTATTTATGCAGCGCCAAATCACAACAACAGTGGGAAGGAAAAACACCCTTTTAACAGGAAGAAACCTCCGGGAGAACCAGATTCTGGGGAGGGGCAGCCATCTGCCCATCTGCCCAGGGAATCTCCCAGCAGCCGACACCTATTGCAGCATAACTAAGGGAGGATTCAGGATCACCTGATCCAGCCCTAACTATATGCTTTAGCAAGAAGGAATGTTTTAAGCCTAATTTTAAAAGTAGAGATAGTGTCTGTCTCCTGAATCCAAACTGGAAGCTGGTTCCACAGAAGAGGGGCCTGAAATCTCAAGGTTCCCCCTCCCATTCTACTTTTAAATACTCGAGGAACAACAAGCCCGCAGTGCGAGAGTGAAGTGCTCTAATGGGGTGATGTGGTACTATAAGGTCATTAAGATAAGACGGGGCCTGATTATTGATATATGAAGGGAAGCCAATACAGGAGAAATATGCTCTCACGTTCTAGTCCCTGTCAGCACTCTTGCTGCAGCATTTTGGATTAACTAAAGGTTTTTCAGGGAGTTTTTAGGACAACCTAATAATAATGAATTACACTAGTCCAGCCTAGAAGTAATAAATCCATGAACTAGTTTTTCCAGCCACTCTGAGACAGGATATTTCTAATTGTAGAGATATTGCGCAAATGGAAGAAAGCAGTCCTACATATTTTTTAAGGAGGAAGTAATTACTGAGGTTAACTCAGAAAGCTCAATTGAAGAAAAAGACTAAATGCATTTCAATGGTACTGAAAGCAGCTGTAGATAATGGTCTAATAATGATGGTGCATATGTTCCAGGTACTCATGTTTTAGGGGACTATATCTATTAACTTTGTCCTCCTTACTTAGAATGTGCATTTCTAGGGCATGTTGCAAGGTTTATAATTTACACTGTGTAGAAACACAGTATAAGTGTCACAAATATGACCGCCATAAATAATTACGAATTGTATAAAGAGGATATACAAATAGGGATATCCTTTGTAGACTAGCTACAGTTAGCTAACTGGCCCTAGTCTAGAGTCCTAGTCTCTATGGAATTTGGAGCCAAATATCCAGTGCGATATGATGACATCTATGGTATTTGCTTAGCTGGTGGTATTTGCTTTGCATAATCAAAGTGCAGAACAGGACATTGAGTAATTAGTATCCATCCTTGTCAGCACATATTTTGTGAAAAGGTTCTTGTGTCTTGTGTACGTTTCATTTACCAATCACTGACGAGGACAGTGGCGGCCAACCTTTCACCCACACCGCCAAATGACACAGAACATGGACAAAGAGGACTTTGAATTCATGAATGGATGAGCTTTGCCCTGACACTGTGTGTGCGTGCATTTCTACATGATGTAAGGAGGGCAGGAACAGTAAACAATGGTCCTGCTTATTTTTCTGTCACAGTTGTGAACAGTATTACTTGAATGACTCAGTGGAGCAGTTACAATGACAACTTCCATTAAAAATAATAAAAGAAAAATACTTATTGACATAAACTCTAACAATAACATAGTAATATTATAAGAACATCTAGCAGAACATTTTAGGTACATCTATAATTTTGTCTGCTTCTCCTTATTTAGTCCCTTTGCTCTGTCAACCATTACTATATGCAGATTATCTGGACCCTTTTCTAACCTCATGGTTTAGTAACATAATTAGACGGATGAAAATCGTGATGAGATATTAACAGCAAAAAATGTCTGTGTCATTTCCAGCTGAGCCTAGGTGAGAAGAGCAAGTAATTGTTGCATGCACTTTCTGTATGTCACCCCACGCCAAAGCCAAACATATTGCCAGGAGTGAGAATGCATCTGACACAACATCTGTCCTGCCCTGATCTACTTATATTATCTAGAGCTGTTAAAAAGTTTGAATTTCAAATGACGATGGTTTTACACCATAATGTAACAAGAATAAACTAATTTAGGGTAGTGAGTGGGTCCAGCCAGCAACAGGTTACCTTTGTCTGGTTGCAGAGGTACCTGCAGAGTTCACCAATATACTGGAAAATAGTAACATCATGTTTTCTGCAGTCATTCCAGAACTGAGAGGCTGAGAACTTCTTCTTCAAGACTAAGGTTGCGCCTATGGTAGAATAGACAACAATGTAGTTAATAACACTGTTATGGGATGAAATTAGAATGATTCCTCTTTTTAATACATCTGTTAAGCTCTGTTTTATTATACTGGCCCACAGAAAGACAAGGACAAAACATAATGCAGTAGTGACATGCAAACTGGGAGCTCCATTCAAACTGGGAGCTGCCTGAGAGCTGAAGTCTCTGCATTCCATTGTACTATCCACAAGAAAGCCTACATCATGACAGTCAAGTGCTCAGTGGGTATAATATGATACTATGAGGTTTTTAAAATAACAGAGTTCGTGATCGTTCTTGATTGGATTTAACATGGAGGCGGCTAAGAGAAGCTAACGTAAGAGACATTAAAGTTCTATTTCTAGTCCCTGTTAGTATTCTCATAGCATTTTGGACCCTCTGAAGGTTGGTACTAGAGGCCAAGGTAATGCCATCAAGATTAAGGATATACTAACCTGATTTTTGGATTGGCTATAGGCCCAACCCTTACCCCCAAAAATCAGATATCACTGTCAATTCTTTGCTTGGTTAGAAAAACCCCCCAAAACAAACACAACAACAACAAAAACCCAGCCTTCGCAACATCTAGCCAACCCAATAACACTTTTGAGGACTTCAGTATAAAAGTCTACAATCAACAGACCCCATCATAATTGATTTTTAAGAAAGTTTGCAAATGGTGCAAACCACTGATTCCACTCAATAACAGAAAAACCAGATCAGATTTTGCCCTATAATTTCCTTCTTTTAAATTCAGATAACACTGAGGTCATTTGTACTTGGCCCTAAAAATCTTAGACATATGGGATCTAACCCAATGCTTAGTCTGCATGGCATTGATTTTGATCAGGATATGTGCATATTAACTATCAGGGCATTAGCTTTACCAAGGATTGTTTTCAGAACTTGTCAAGATGTTGATCTCAGAATGTGAAGGATTCAGCATCACTAACTTTGGCATAGATGGAACAGATCCGCAAAGCAGTTAATCATCAATACTATGAAACAACAAACAAAAACTCCTCGAAATTACTCCATAAGCAGAAGAGAATGGACCGACTGATGAATTCAAAAACATACGAGATTACTTTTATGTTCAAACTGCAGAAACAGTTTTCAGTGTACTTAACAACAATAATATTCCCATCTGAGAATCTTGCAGCATAAAATAAAGCTGCTTGTTAAAGTGAAACATGAGATCTTCAAAGAGGTTTGGTAGTTACATTGTGCTGAGTAGACAATGTCTGCAGCTCTGAAAAACAGCCAATATTCAATATTCAATGCCAATAGAACCAACTCTCTGAAGCATGGAACTTAAATCATAAAAGCAGCAAAAGCAAGTTGCTGGGTGTCATAAGAACACGTCTCTGTGTAATCTTATCATCTTGAATTATAAAACAGTCCAAGATAAATCTTGCTTACATCCTTAAACTATAATGTCAATAGGGCTCATTTACTAATATTTGCATGGAAACATCTTAACCTGTGCAAAAAGTTCACATGCAAAATTACCATCGATTACCATATCTTTTTTTCCTCACAGCTATACTTACTACAGCAAGTATAGCTATACTGTCAGACCCTAATCATGAAGGGATTAGCAATGCAGAGATATTTGTAGACCTACCTAGCTCTATAGTTCCACCTACACCAATAAGGGATGCTGCGCTGTGATAGAGTGGCAAGGTGACATAAATTACATCATCTTCAGTTGCCCCAAATGCCCAAAAACCTGCTGCTGCCTTCAGGCTCTGGAGGTGAGAGATCACTGCAGCCTTAGGAAGACCTGTGGGGAAATAACCGCATAACGTTACATTTGGGACGCTACATTTACAAAATACCAAACAGCATGCTTTTGATTGAATGAGCGGCCATCTGAAGAACAATTCAAGCTTGAATTCTGCATAAATGAAGTGAACACCTTTTTGGGATGCGACGCTCTCGGTCCAATAATGAAAGAGGAGGGTATACCATAGATGCAATAATGCCAGTCACCAACCTTTCAACCTTTCCCACTCTGTGCTGTCCCTGTTTTAAAAGCCCATCCCTACCTCTGACCTTGAAGTCGAGGTTTCTGAGATTTGAACTGTCTGAGTAAGTAAATGCATCTATGCCGTCAAGTTGAAAATCCTACATTGCCTAGTTCTCGAGTTATGGCACTCACAAACTCGGGTGTCCATGCCACCTGCGTGTCCCGCCAGGGTGGCAGCAATACCTCAACTTTTATGGCTTAAGGGATAGAAATCATTGTCCCCACTGTATAGATGAGACAAACCCTGTGTTGAACCAGTTTCTGTGTTCATGTGACAAAGAAAAACACAACATGACAAAACTATACATAGATAGTTGTACTTTATTAAGCAAACTGTGTAACCTTTCATAGTGCAGGCTGGTAAAAGTAAATTAATGTTAAACTTAGTAACTAGTAAAAACATCCATCAGGCAGTTTGAGCAATGACAAGGAAATTAGGATCATTTGTCCTTCAAAATCTTTTCAGTTCACCAGTATTTCTGGCCTAATTTAAACACAAGCGGCAGTTTATTCTTCAGTATCACATTTATGTTAAGACCATTACTCTGACTCAGCCATTCCAATAAGCCACTCTTTTAAACATCAGTATATGGATATCCCCAAATTATTATGTTCCCCTGACTATCCTTCACACATGGGATGATGGAATAATGAGTCTGGTGTGTGGTGTGCACCGGCTTTCTTGCTCCAAACATTTCAATGTTTTCACTAACTTGTTGTGCAACTTTAGATCATGTAAATCACAAATACAGTTTCCATGTCAAATACTGTAGAATGTATGAATGAGTAATTTAAACTGTATTAAAAATGAAAACAGAATTGTATCATCTTCATGCTCCCCCAACCGACACAACCATCCTGCCCAAATACAGGCTTGAGATTTTAGGCTCTCTTTTCTAGGCAACTGCTTCTGATCTCATCCACAATGCTCGACACCAACACATGAAGCGCTTTTTTAATAATATAATAGAATATCCTTTGTGAGTACTGAACTGGTCATCACACTTTCATCAGTTTGCTTCTCAAACCCTCAAACCACCCTGCTTATAAACCACTTGCACAGCTATATAACAAGAGTATATCAGATAGAGTAACATTACACTTTACAGACTGCATAAAATAGAACATCCACTCTTCAAGAGTAATTTTATCGAAAACAATGGACAACTGGTACAATTTGTCCCAACATATAAATAAGCACCACTCATTAATTAATAATTGGGGGTCACTGCACCTAGTGCTCCGATTATCCCTGGGACCACTGTTACCTTCACCCTTTACACACTCGAGCTCTTCTCTAAGCCCTTGGTATTTCTCAAGCTTCTCATGTTCCTTATTCCTGATGTTGCTGTCATTCGGTATTCCTACGTCTATCACTACGGCCGTCTTCTTCTGCTTCTTGACCACCATTTTGTCCGTCTGTATCTGGAAGTCCCACGGGATCTTAGCTCGGTCATTCTCGGCCAACCTAGGGGCCGTCTCCCATTTTGATCAATTTCTGTAATGTTGCCTTCTGGTAGTGTGATCCCCCTCAGTTCGGACTACTTTCCCTCTCTTTGTTATCATCTAACTACACTTCTCCAGTCTGAATGACATTCCAATGTCGTTGCTGTATATCCTGGTGGCGTGGATCAGTGAATCGATGTCTCATTTACTCTTGGCACACAGCTTAATGTCATCCATGTAGAGGATTGCTCCATTCACTCTGGCAGTCTTGGCTGACTGTTTGGTCTACCAGTAGCTGGGGTTTTGGGGTTTTGGGCCTCTGGTACTCTTGCCAATTCCTTTCTGTGCCCCACTCATTTATTGAGCCATGTGCCTGTTCATCTTACTGGACCCTGTTCAGGGAGGTTGCTGTGGTCTGCTCTGAGACCGACTAACCAGTAAGCATTGCCGTTATGGGTTGCGTCCTTATCCCATATGCTCTTCCAGTATTACACTGTCTTCAGCCTTGGTGCTGCTCTTCTCATATTGCTCTGCCAATGAGAGCGCACCTTGGCTGGTGCCGTGGAGAACAGCTGGTTTATTCTCCTGCCTGGTGTACCTCTTCAAGTGGCAGGCCAAGGCTGTGAGTTTTTGCTTGGCAGTTTCCAAAGCCTCTGGTATGGACAGCTTGCTTCTTAGGCACCTTCTTCTGCAGATTCGATAGTTAGCTAACCTCCCTCCGTGCTACTTTGATCTTGGTCTCTAGTCTCCTTCTCCAGGTAGGGTACTGCTTCTCATGGCTGTTCAACTTGTAGTCAAGAATCTCACTGCTGTAGTGTACATCAGATGGTTAGCCTCGGTAATGGTTGCAGCAGGTATTGCCCGTAGCTACGCAGGATCCAGGTGTCAAGCTTCGCCATGATCCTATCTCTCAGGTCATTTCCTCTCGCACTCAATGATCCTTCTTCCAGCGCGCTTGGGGCTTGGTACCCAATCTCGGATGCGGGTGACGATACACCCCCCCCCCCCATGACCTGTCGTCCTGGCTCCCCCTTGCTGTAGCATTTGTGTTGTACCTTGTCAATCTCTAACCATATATACACTCACCAGTTGTTCCTGACGTAAAGATGTAGAGTGTAGGAGTTTTGAGAGAAGTGGCAGCATGCAGTGCTGCTGGTACAGGCTTCTCAGATGCAGATTCAAGCTTATCCAGCAGAGAGTGCACCTCCGTGTGTTTGGTCCAGCTCCTCATTGCCCACACCTGGATGTTGTCCGACAGCAGACTGTTTAGGATGCCATCCAGGTCTTCCACTAAGTCTAAGACATAGAGACACTTTTATCATAAAAGGTTACCTTGACTTTGCTTACTCCTGTAAACTAAATTGATCCTAAAACTGAAAATTTAGGTTTAGGAAGGTTTGATTGCAAATGTACATGTACAAATGTGTTTTCTCAGTGAGACGTAGAAGCATCTTGCAAACAGAAAGCCAATTATATACCATGACACTTAATCTCACAGAATAAAACGTTTAATTGTAGTTTATGGATCATTATGTGCCTTTTTTTTTTACCTACAGTGCAAGTAGTGACTGTAGGTGAAAATGGAACTGCATCAGTGTTTGCAAATATCTTTCTGTATGACTGACCTTAAAATTCCTGCAGGAAGTTTTTGTCAGGTACCTGAATGGAAAGGACTTAAGTCACACATGTAATGGTTTCTTCACAGTGAAGCTGTCCATGTATCCCATTATTCAGAAGACAGAATTATAGAAATAGTAGAAGCAAAAAAATATTTCTAATAATTGCAAACATAATTTGTAATTATGTTAGCATAGCAGCCATTTCTTCAGCATAAGAGAAAGTTGGTAATTTGTTTTGTTTTTTTAACCTATACACTACGTGTCATGAATTTAAAGAAAGAAAGAAAGAAAGAAAGGAATCCTTGGACACTGCTCGCATAACAGACAGGTTTTTGACGGGGCTCCCACAGAAATGCAAAGCAGAAGGTGAAGCATCGCCAAATATGCTTCCAATAAGAAGATTTTGTTGTAAAAACAAAGGCGGGGCCTAGCAAAAAAAAGTCTGGGTTCACAATTTAAAGCTGTTCTACGGCAATGGAGGTTGATCACGCCTTGAAAGCTGGTGCTGCTGGATTACTAACAACCCCCTCTGTCTGTATAAAAACAGTGTTGGCACCCACTGTGTGGTACCATACCCGAGTGAGCATCAGCTGAACAGTACTTTACAGCAGAAAGTGGTGTGTTGCTACAAACATGCCGAGATTGTAGAAAGATTGCCAAGGGTGTGCTCAGCTGTTAAATCTTCCACAAGGTGGCTACTTTGATGTGTCAAAGGTTTAGAATACATTTTGGTATATAAATTGATATAAATTGATTCTCTGATTTCTTTTTTAACTCCAACTACTTATTTGTATTATGCTTTCATTTCAGAATCCAATGAGGCATTAAACTGCACGATTTTCAATAAAAAAACTTGAAAAACTGGGGTGTGTAAACTCTAAAAACTAACCACGGTTGTAGTGAGGACAGCATTTCTGACAACATGTTTGTCTGGTTGAGCAATCTGTCACTCTGTCACATGATTACGGCATGGTTAATCCAATTAAATGTACAAACAGGAAACTTTCAGTGAAACTTAATTTGTATTAAACATATATTTGCTTATCACCAATTTTTTTGATCCATCCATTGAATTTCTGAATAAATTCCATCCCAAAGCAGATTTGTGGATTTGTGGAATGATCTATACTTAAATTGCAGCTAACATTACACAAACTAATAATAATCTTACAAGGGATCAGCAAGTTACAAGATTTTAATGAGGAGCTATTAAGTTCATCAAATTTTATTTTGTCATCTATTATTCATGTGTTAGTCACAGGTGTTGGTTCACTTGTGAGTTCAGGGAAGTAACTAAGTACACTGAGTCAAGTAATATGCACAAGTAGCATTAAGTACATATGATTTTCACTTAAGGCTACTTAAGGGAAAAGTTAATTAATCATGACATCCATAAGTGAAAGTAAGCCAGGTTTGATACCTGCAGTTCAGAACATGAAAGTTGTCAAAGATGTGCCTGACTATCAGAACTGGGAAAAGTTACAATTACACCAAAACTGCATGCACGTTTTAAAACGTATATCTGCCATTAATAAATCCGCACTTTAGTGTTGCGGCTTCATTACTTGGCCAATTAAACTTTAAAGAGGCCTAATATGAAACATTATTCGCAGTACTTGAGAGGTGAAATCCTCACGTGTTTTACACTGCTTAACAAATTCATTAGCTCGCCTGTCGTAAAAACAAAGAAAAGGAAACAAATATTTTACAAATTTGTCCAAACTTGAAACTGAATTCATGTTTTTATACCAAAATTTGAGTAGTCAGAAATGAATCAACCATAACTTCAGGTGCTATTTTTATGTTCAGAAATGCAAGTATATAAATGAAATGTAAAATTCATGAACAATAACAATAATTATATTTTTGCATAAACTATATCATATAATGACTTTTCCTGTGACTGTTTTTGATTTCAGTACGTTTTTACAGGGAATACATTGTAAAGACAGACAAAGCTCTGGTGGAGGGTACCAGGTTACTTGTGGCTGGTGGTATAGCCAGTCAGGAGAAGATAGCCAAGACTGCCCAGTCCCCAGTGTCCACCCTTACCTAACTGGAAAATGTGGTAAAACTGGTAACAGCCAGCCTGGGTTCTGAAGATGCAGAAACCCAGGTATGGACAGCATACCTGTTTGTTTCTATACTGGCAAATATCTGCTACTTTATTTGTGTAAATTTGCTTCTTATGTAAATCTACAGTGCTTAACAAACGTATTAGATCACTTCTCCTAATAAGAAGAAAACAAATATTTTGGAAATATGTCAAAAACGTGTTTAAAACAACAACAAATTCACATTTTAGACCCGAATTTCAGTCTGCAGAAATTAGTCAAGCATTACAGTCAACCACTAAAACGTTTTTTCCCTGTTCAGGAAAGCAAGTAAAATATAATAATAAATAATAATAATAAATAGTAATAAAATGTAAATAAAATACCATTTAAACTAATGGACGATAGAAATGATATTTTAGCATTAATATATCATTTTGAACTTGTACCTACTAGTGGATTAACTTAATTATAGAAACACACACAAAGCTTACTGGCAGAATAAGCTCCTGTGCTACATTGCAAGGACAAATTTGAGACAAAAATTAAAGATATTGCGTAATATATATAGAGAAAACTATCAATACACAATATTAAAATATCGAGAAAGAATGTTGAATGCTGTACATGAAGATAAAACTGTTTCTAGAGCCACTGTGGTGTATACCACTTCAATGAAATGAGACTTTTACCTGAACCAACTATTAGAGTTTTAGCTCCACAGGAGTTAAAGCAGTGCAACAGAGACTTGGACTTGATGTTAGTGTTGAGGAAAGCAACCGAGCAGCCGACCTTCGCTAACCCGAACCAAACGCACAAAAAGTCGGGCTCGTTGTTCATGAGCAAGGCAACGCAGTCTCCTTTCCTCAAGTTGGCTTTCTCCAGGAACACATTTGCCAGTCTATTGCTACGCCGATCAATGTCCCGGTAGGTGTGGACGTTCCCGTCGTAGATTACAAACGGTTTGTCCGGGATGCGCTGTACCTGCTGGAGGAACCTGTCCAGGACCGTGCGCACGCTGGAAGTCAGCTTGAATACCTCCAGTTTCACACCGTATCTGACGACTTTCTGCAGAAAAAGAAGATCTCTCCAAAAGTATGGGAAGCAGAGTTTTTGCAGAACATAAACTGATAAAGCAAGAGCCACGAGAACGGACAGACATCCCAGACACAGAGTCATGCTCACTGCTAAGGACCACGAGAGGAGAGGAATGTCGCACTGAAAGGTAGCCACTGCGCGCCCTTCAACGTTCCAGGTAATAAACACGGTGTGGCAAGTGGCGTAACAGGGACCGTCCAGAAATGTCAATTTCCGCAACATAAGAGTGGAAGATCACAAATGCTGCCTTCAAAATAAAAGGTGATTAACTTACAAAACATCACCTGTGGCGGTTTGCTTTTTCAAATGATCTCTCACGCATGCATGCTGTTAGATGGAAAGAAATTAAGATGCATGTGAAGATTGTGAGACAGGAAGCCCTGAATGCATGTGTAAGACCTTGGTGTCAGCAGATATTTTATATTAAAGCACTCTGTTCACAAGTGGCATCCCCATCTTTAATCAGGATTTGTGAACTTCCATCTAAAATCATACCGCCAATAACCAGGATAACTGTTATTTAAATAACTAAAGCTACTGTGCAGTACAAAAGGAAAATATGCTCAAGACAAATGTATTTAGCCTGAAACTGTTCAAGACAGAAGCCCCGAATCGCATTTTATTTTGAAGGGCAAACTTAAATATTTCCTGTTTGACTGCCTACTAAAATCAACATGACCGCGTGTTTGTAGAAGTGAAATCATGTGACAGTTGTTGTGGAGATGAGTGGGAGGGCATGCTGAGCCTCACCCCTTATTTAAAAAGATAATAGAACGACTGTATTCTGGAAGTAAATAGTGAGAAGCGGCTGGTACATTCTGTCTGCAATGATATAGCACAGCTGAAAGTAGTAGGGAAGTAAGGAAACCACAGACAATGAGTTATTTTGACCTTCCGCTGCAAATAGCCTCATGTGTCTAAACTCCACAATATTGAACAAAACATCAGTTATTTTGTATATTAAGTAAGACCACTTTTAAAAGATATGACTAAATTTAACTACTGTAATCGTCTCCGCGAGAGGTGGATAAAAGAGGCTATGTTAACAGCCTCTCTGATCTATTACTGCACAGCTCAATAGGGAAATTGAGTAGAAAGCCACACTAATGGCCAAATTATCTGTTCAAACTGTAAGAAGACAGAGCTCAGTATTAAGGTAAGCGGCTTAAGCAAAGTTTGCCACTCTGTTTATTTAAAATAACCAGAAATAATTATATGATAGGGTGTTTTTTTCCCGTTTTTGTGTGTGTTGCTCCTTCTTGATGATTGCACTGTCCTTGTTAGGTTCACCTCTATTATTAACTGATAAATTCCATATGTTTTTTTGAATTAATCTACATCTTTCATTCCTTTGTGACTTGTCATGTGGCCTGTGTATTCCTAGGATTCAGTTCTCTACCATTTCTTTTCTGGAATTTCTCCTTCTGCTGGTTTCAATCTATATTATTTGGACCCTTTTGTTATACAGTACTTTGCAAAAGTCTCCGAATTTCTTTAAATTGTGCTAGTAACTAGTAGTGGTGTGATGTGCTGTGTTGAGAAATCCAGGAAGTCTTTTATGTAACGTACAACAAGGATTGCTTCCTTTATAAAAGCGCCCCCAAGCCAGTAGAAGCAAGACAGAATACACTTGTCTGGATAATAGGGAGATAGGTGGAGAAGTGAATTTTCAAAGAGTAAAGATAGTGAAAGTAAATAAGTTTAAATGCCTGAGGTCAGCCATCTAAAACAATACACATTGTACAAGAGAGTAAAGGCATTTTGGAGTGGGTGGAGATTACTGTCAGGGGTAATATGGAAAAGTGGTAGTAACAAAACACAGGAGGCACAGCAGGAGGTAGAAGGGTAGAGGATGTTAAGATTTTCATTGGTACTGAACAAGGATGGATGTGATTAGAAATCAGTATATAACAGGAATAGTAAATATATTGGAGAAAGGATGTTGAATATGAAGCTGCAGACAGGAGGAAAAGAGGAAGACCTCAGAGTAGGTTCGTGGATGTAGTGAAGCAGTACATGCAGATTGTTGGTAAGCTGGCACCACTGATGTGACACCGAATTTCTTCAGGAACTATAACCAGAGGGTGACTCTGGAGGCCAAGGCCACTCAGGTCAAGAGTGGTGTTAGTTTATGGTTACTATGCAGAAATTATCTTCTGTTTAACTTTTGCTATGGTAAAAATCATATTTATTGTTGTTTGATAGAGCTCTGGGTTTTCCCCAGGAGGCAACCTCTTTAAAGGTTCACCAGCAGTCACATTAAATTAAAATTTCTGTAGCTTAGAAGAATACGAATGAAACAGAGACCAGAGACCTACTTATACAGCCCGAGAGTCACCTTATTTGGGCCCTATCACTATTTAAATGTTTATAATAATAAGAGAGGGGCTAATAATATATTTAGAGAATATTTGTTCATAGTAGTCAAAAACTAACTTTTGATAGTGGATATATTTAAATGTGGAAACATCATTATCTACAGCCTTATTCTATACATATACATAAAAACATAGATATAGTCCATACATTACTACAAACATACATACATTTAGTGGTCGCCAAGCTTTATCAAAATCGTTGGTTTTTGGACACTGGCTACTTTATAAATCTCTTTTAGTCTAGTCCTTGTGCAGAAGAAAGTTTTTTGTTTGTTTATTGAGTCACTTAACAATGAGCTATGAAACATTCAAAAATGACACCTAACAACAGGTTGTATAAACAGACGGAGGTCAGTAGAGAGACAACAGGGAGTGTCTACAGCCATCAACAAAAACAGTGGAAGATCTGTCATGGATTGGAGGTCCATTTGTTGTTATGTTGGAAACTGAAGCAGTGCGGAATTATTGTGATAATCAATGGAGATATCGAAAGGCAGCCAACATTCAAATGAGAGCTTTACATATCCTTCGGAAGCCTGGAGAACTACTTCCTGAAGACTACAACTACAAGAAGAAGAATTACAAGAAAGCTATAGTTCAGGCTGTGTTGGAGAAAAAAGGTGGTAATGCCAATGATTGATTTTCAATACCTGTTTTAACCATGCAAATTAAAGTGTATTAGATGGATTAACCTGATGGATATGGCTGGGCATGTAAGGCAGATCTGCAAATGGGCGACAGG